TATATATATATATATATATATATATATATATATATATATATATATATATATATATATATTTGTTTTTACAAATTAATGAAACAGACATTGTTTGTTCAATTATCAATTTATTCTAACAGTTTGGCAGTTTGAACTCTGCTTCAGATAAATAGAAAAAACTGAGTGAAGAGCCTTTGCTCTTTGAACCCTTAAGGTTGTTCTGGACCAATTGATCATCCACTGTCTGCATGTGTTTACATTGTTTTTGTCTGTGAAATGAAACCGCTGTATTGTAGCAGAAAATTTTTATAGTTTACATAGTTATGAGGTAGGAAGATAATAATGTGCATTATGCATCCATCCATCCATTTTCTTACACCCTTGTCCCTTACTGGGGTTGGGAGGGGTGCTGGTATAATGTGCATTATGACATGATTAAAATGAAAATTCATTCATGCAGATTTTGCTAAAACAAAATCATAAAAGTATTACAAAATGAACTGTTTTTGTGGAAAAATCAAGACTGCAGTAGATTCATTTTCATGCCTCCACTGCAAATCTTTTGCTTGTCTGTTGAACAACAAAAGCAGCAGGAATAAATTCACAAGTGAAATAAAGTCTTTATATGTGACATAAAGAAACAAAAATGTAGTATATAAATGTCCCAAATGACAAGTCACCTCTAAGTTTATCATTATGATTCTTTTATTTCAAAGCTCTTCTTTAAGCTGTGAATATGTTCCACTGTCTTTGAAAATAAACTCATTAATGTATATAAATAAAAAACCTTAACATAAAATGAGATACAATTTGTTAGGGTTAAACTAAATGAAAACATTGTTGGCAAACATTTAGCACAAGGACAAATGTTCAGTGCTTTTTTTTTTTTTGTTAAATCCCACATGTTCAATATAAATATTCATAAAAACATCTTTCAATAAATAATGAGAATTTACTATGTGGTTATTAGAACTTAAAATGAGGAACATTATTCAGTGAAAAGTAAAAAACATCATTATTTTGGTTGTATGTTTAAAGCTCCTATCTCTAGGCTTCTTTTCTAAACAGAGGTTCAAAGAGCAGATCAGAGTTCGAATGTGTTTTTAGCTTCAGAGAAGAATCTTTACCTGCTTTTAACTTCACCAACAAATGTGCTTTTATACTCATATGTCTGACATTTTGTGGACAAACAAGTTGTTTTAAGCAACATGAAGTCTCTGTCTGCGATTATTGAGGCTGAGAAGAGAAAAATAGATTTGGTTGATACTATTTCAAATGACGAATGTCATGTTTAGATTTAAATTGAATTAAATTGTGTGTGTTTTTTTGTTGTCGCAAGGAACTATTTATTTGCACTAGTTTCTAGTTGTGACTTTAGGAAATAAAATTGCACAGTTAATGAGTCATTATGCATGCATTTATGGAACAATTGCCCACATTTATTTATGTTTATGTGAATATGCAGATTGTGAAGAAAATGGTAACATTTGCTGAAGGCTGGACATAATTTTGTCAAAGAAGAAGAAACGAGTTTAGAAAAATAGCTGTTGAACTGTTGGCTTTACAAAAAGAAAAGAAAAGGATTAGGGATGTTACAAAAATGTAGAATCTGTCCTCTTTACCAGATAGTTTTGCCTCTTTTGTTGCGCAAATATTTGTTTTCTAAGTCAATTTGTAGAACATTTTATTGAGCTACTCATTATTTTTTAGGGCAACCTCATTTTCAACACAAAGTGCAGAGTAGCGTAACAAGTGACAAAGGTCTATGAAACACTTTGTATGGTTGCCATTAGGATTTGTGTATGTAGAAAATGTGAACTATTAGATCAATTCATAAAAGTAGAGTTTGTCCACAGTCTATAATAAGGTTTCATCCATCAATGCAGAAAAAATGCATTGTTTCTCAAATGGGTGTCTGCTGCTGAGTTGCTGTCTGTGTTTAAACAGGACGACTGGGACATTTACAGTTTTCACATCAACTCCACTGTGACCGGCCGATACGCCACCACCGTTATGACAAGCCGCGTTGTGAATCGCATGACTGAATCGAAAGAAGTTGAATTCCATGTTCAGATCCCCAAAAATGCCTTCATCAGTAAATTCAGGATGTGAGTGGAAGAAAGACTTGTGAGAGTGTCTGATATTTTGGCACAGTTATTATTTTGTGATAAATCATTGTTCTAGTTTCTTTCTTTTTTTTTCACCTCTTCAGGCTTATTGATGGTCAAATGTACGATGGAATTGTGAAAACTAAGGAGCAGGCTCAGCAACAGTACACTCAGGCTGTGTCTCGTGGTCAGAGTGCTGGGATTGTCAGGTAACTCAGTCCCAATTCCCTCAGATAAATGTTTCTTCTGGTGTCCCACACTTTCTCCATGTTTTTGTATATCTGCAGCCAGAAATATTTAAGATTAAAACGTCTAACATCTTGTAATAAATTACAGTTCCTGCTTTTGTTCTCAGCTCTGTAGGGAGAACCATGGAGGAATTTAAGACCTCTGTAACTTTGGCGGCCCACAAAAAGGTCACCTTTGAGCTCACCTACGAGGAGCTGCTGAAGCGAACCCACGGCAAATACGAGCTGCAGATCCACGCTCGCCCCATGCAGCCTGTCAAGGACTTCAAGGTTTTTCGATTATAGTGAAAATAACATCAGATGTGCTGATGAATGCTTCTAATTGCTTTGTTTTTCTAACTACAAGGTTGATGTGCACATTCACGAGAAAGCCGGCATCAGTTTCATTGATGTGAAAGGAGGACTGAGCACCGATGTCTTGGCTAATGCTATCACCAAAACACGTACAGATGAACAGGTACAGCTGGTCCTATAAGGCTATTTTCTCTTTTATCTTCAGTATAGGAGTTGGCTCAAAATTTTAAGAAGTGGATTATTATTTTTTTCTTCATTGCACATATGTTGCTCATGATGTATACTAATGTATGATATGGCACAAGGAACGAATGTCATTTTGTTTCCAGTTCTTAAAAACAATTTAGAATACTGAACTCACTTAACTGACACTCTGAAATGAAACACTACATTTCACTGTTGGATATATTATATATATTATTTTATCCAGTACCTGATAAAGTTTTGTTCTGATTGTGTTGTAATCTTATTTTGAAGGAAGAAATGTTCAGTATTTCAAGGTCTTTGATTTATCGGGTTTTCTTTCTCTTCTGACTCTGAAAATAAGCAAATTATGTAGTTAATTAATGAATACAACAGGGGTGGCCAAGTCCAGTCCTCGAGAGCCACCCTCCTGCCAGTTTTAGAAGTATCCTTACTCCAACAGACCGGGATCAGCTCTACAGAGGCCTGATAACGAACCAGTCATTTGATTCAGGTGTGTTGAAGCAGGGATGCATCTGAAACTTGCAGGATGGTGGCTCTCGAGGACTGGACTTGGCCACCCCTGGAATACAAAGTCCATCATAGCACCAATTTAAATGATTTCCCTTTATATCATCACTTAAATACACATCAAATAAATACACAAATGTAAACACAACTTCGCAAAGCCTCCTGTGTGACATAAGAAACATAATTCTCTTACGTTGTTTCAGGCATGGGTGTATTTTTATCCTACGGTGGACCAACAGACAACTTGTGAGCGCTGTGGAGAGCGGGGTCTGAATGGAGATCTGATTGTTGTTTATGACGTAAATCGAGGCAACGGACTGGGCGACATCAAGGTGAAACACTCCCGAAAACAATTACTATTACAGATAGATATGAAGATGTGTTTAGCTTAAAACATGACCAAAAAGTCGATGTATCTTTCACTCTTTCACTCATTTGCATGTTTTTACTTCTTCCAAGACTTTGGACGGATACTTTGTCCATCACTTTGCTCCATCAGACCTTCCCCGAATACCAAAGAACGTCGTCTTTGTTATAGATCGAAGTGGCTCAATGCACGGCAGAAAAATGCAACAGGTAAATTATTTCAAAGGCTTGTTACAATTAAACAAACAGTGTGTGATTCACCCAAAACAAATTATTGACTGTTTCTTACCTTATTATTTATGTGTGTCTCTTCCACAGACCAGAACTGCTTTAATCCATATATTGAACGACCTGGCCGAAGACGACTTCTTTGGTCTTCTCAGTTTTGACAGCGAAATATCTCACTGGAGAAGAGAACTCGTTCAGGCCACCAGTGCAAATCTGGAGGGTGCCAAGAAATTTGCACATGGTATCACTGACAGAGGAGGTGAGATTTCTCAGTACACAGGAATACAAACATCTTGCAGCAGGATGACAAGTAATGAATTTTGTTTTTACTTCTCTCAGCCACAGACATCAACGCAGCAGTGTTGGAAGGGGCTCGCATGCTGAATGCACATCCTAGAGAAGGTTCAGCTTCCATCCTAATACTTCTCACAGATGGAGACCCAACATCAGGTAAATTTAAAACACACTCACATGCACTAGAACAAACACCTTCAAAATGTTAATTCAATAATGAGATATTTACTCTGTTGGTACTTAATCCATTCTTTCATTCACAGTATATCACCATCCTGTTGAAATTATGAATATGTTAAAAGTTTTAATCTGGTGTCGTTCTAGGAGTGACAAATCGCGAAGAAATACAATCAAATGTAAGACAGGCGATTGCAGGGAAGTTTCCTCTCTACTGTCTTGGTTTTGGATTTGATGTCAATTTTGAATTCTTGGAGAAAATGTCTTTGGGGAACAACGGTGTAGCAAGACGGATCTATGAAGACTCTGATGCTGATTTGCAGCTCAAGGTATCCTCCTCCATTTCACCAATACTCTTCTTATCAATTTCCAACATTTTTATGCAGAAAACTGCCATCTTCACTGTATAAAACTATACATCAACAGGGCTTTTATGAAGAAGTGGCCAATCCTCTCCTAACAGACGTCACAATGATCTACGTCGGTGGAACCAATCTGACCCAGACTAATTTCAGTCAGTATTATAATGGCTCTGAGATCGTGGTGGCCGGTGAGATCATTGACAACAACATTGAAGACTTTGTGCCAGAAGTTATTGCAATTTCAGTAAGGATCAATCTACAATGTCTAATTATTAGGACTTTTTTCTAGATTATTTTAAAAAGTTGTGTATTCACTTTAAATTTGTTTTTGCATTATGACAGAGTAAACAAAAAGTGACATTTTCTAAAACAAATGAGTTTGTGAATTCTTCTGCTGGAATTGCTGATGGACTTCTTCAAAGGGTTTGGGCCTACCTTACTGTGAAACAACTTCTGGAGAAAGAGTAAGTGGTACAATATGTCACATTTCATTTCTATTTTTATTTAGGATTCTGTTTGCAGTTTTCCACTACAATTTTAATCGATGGGCACAAAAAGGATTTTCACTTTGAAATCTTATCCAGGTCCAGGCTTAAGATAATCTTTTAATGAAATACACATGGTTCTTTACTGGACATAATATTTTTAAGTGGCTCAGTCACAGTTCTGACTTGAATCTGGCTTGAATCAAAGACTTGGAGCCCATAGCTGTCAGGGTTGACACCTATTAAACACAGCACATAATACAGGAAAGACAAGAGAAAGTTAGATTCTTAATACTCGCGAGGAGAACAGACAGAGATGTGCTTTCAGTTACAAATCTCCTACCGCTCTGAAAGCACATTTGTCTGCTCCTCTCTTTTTATTGTC